GTGTCCACTACAAGAATGGCACCAGTCATGGAGAACCTCGGAAACTCAGCTCATTGATTACATACAGCACAGTGGGGTGGAGCTATCTAGTCCGGGAAGGAGGTGTCTCTATGAGCAGCCTCAGGCTGTAACCATCCAGGAGGAGGAAGCTGCAGATGCTCATTTTTGCACCCATTGCATTATTTGCACTCAGACTAGAGTAAGGCTTTGCCATTTCTGAGCTTCACCCTTGGGGGAAGGCTTTATTTTTTTAAGGATCTAAGGTATTGGTCCTTGACATTGCCATGCCCATGTCCAACCATTCCACTCAAGACTTCATTTGCTTTTACATATTCACTCAAGGCTTCCTAGGCTCACATTGTTCTTTCATAGAAAATTACAAATGCATAGCTTTAGAGCTGAACCAAGTAGTATCCTAGCAACAAAATGCTAAGCACTTTCTTTGCAGTAAGCTAATAACTTTCATGGTCTCCTACATGAAGGGAAGGGGAAAAAACCCTGATGCTCTGATAGAAATGATAAAATTGATAAAATCTGTGTGTTCATGCATTCAGCACATACCTGTTAAATGCCTACTAAGTGCTAGGCACAGTAAGAACTCTGAGAACTCAAGTCAGTGTCCTCATGAGATCAAGTTTCTTATGTAATGCATTTTTCATTGAGTTAATACGTGGTATCAACTTATAAATTACTGTAAAAATTAGTCTCTGCTTTTAACTGAAAATGTATTAAAGACAATATGATTTTCCATTACTAGAGCACTTCAGAGAAAGACAGCCAACAATGTACATACAAAGAGAGAGACTTATTAACGAGATTGTTTCATACAGTTAGAGATGATGGCTTATTAAAGAGATTGTTTCATACAGTTAGAGATGATGGCAAGTCCCAGGGTCTACACGGTGAGTCAGCAAGCTCAAGATCAAGATTAGTCCCAGGTCCAAAGGTCTGAGGACCAGGAAAGCTGATGGGAAATTCTGGTCCGAAGACCTGAAAATGTGCATCTGGGAAAAGATAAAGTGTCCGTTTGTGTCTCATGGCAAGAAAAAGCCAGTGTCCAATGTTAAAGGCAGCCATGTGCAGTTCTCCGATGTCTGATGTCCAAGGGATTACTATTACTATTCAGACTGAACGCTGACTGATACCAGTTCCCCAAATTACGGAAAGCAGGTGTCTTTATTCATTCTATCATGGTAAACATCTCCAGGAAAAGCCTTACGAAAACATCTATTATCAAGTTCGGTCAAATAACTGTTTCCTCCCTAGTCCTATTCAGGTTGTGCCTAAACTACCTACCACAGGGTCCGTTTTGCAAGTCTGTTAGTGAGGTTATGGTGAGTAATAATGGCAGCTGTGAAGAAAAGAATTGAGAAGACAGGTAACGACCTGCAGGAGGCAGAGGGGTGGGTGGGGTTCAGCTGTACAGGAAGTATCTTCTATTTAGCTACATTTTCCGGTCAATTTTTAATTTTCCTGGGAAGTTTGGAAAGAGGGGGTTTCTGAGAAAGACTTAAGACCCCCCTCCCCCGTGGTATTTCAGCCACCATGCCACTGGTGGGAACTGGCCTTTCACAGTTCTGCCTGGGTGTGTATGTATCTGCGTGTTATGTAACAAAGCTGTGGGTGTGAAGAAATAAAATGAGAAATATCTAGGCAGAACTGCTCTGCCCTGTTCCCTAGCGTTCCCCTGCTTCTCGGAGACAGTGCTGTCATTTTGAAAGAACTCACAAACGCATGGCTGTGAAGGAAATACTAATGAAGACCCCGAGAAGTACAGGCTTCACTTTTCTGCCTTCAAGTTTATCTATCCTAAAGTCTCTCAGAAATGTTATTCTATCGTTTTATTTGTCTGGTTCTCCAGAAAGGATAATTTCCGAGGCTAATTCCTTATTAGAAATATCAAATTTCATCCAAAATGTTTTCACACATAATATCAGTGTATAATATGAAAGCTCTTAAAATACCTAGGTGCTTGGTTAATGTAATTGTTATTGCCATTCTTAATGTCAAATGGTTCTTCACTCTACCTTCAAAGATATCAATTGTGTGAGGGGACTTGTTAATTGATCTCCTTGGACCTCAATTTCTTCTATTGGGAAGTGAAAGTTTGGATAAAAAGACCATTAGCGAGTCTTCTAGCTTTCATTTTATATTCATGATTTTCACATGGCCTTAATACCAGATTTTTTTACCCTCGCTGCCGGATGCTGTCTTAAGAGATACTATGCTGCCCTCATGTGGTCAGTCACGAAGTAGCACACAGACTACACAGTTCAGTAAATATCTTTGGACAGTTTAGTCTGCAGTTCATGAATCAATCGTCTATGACAAAATTAATTTGGAACATATAGCCACAACTTTATAATATTTCATCAAACAATAAAGATATAAATTTTCACATAGCAAAATAACATAAATAATATCAATACACTAATGTTATCTAAAATTAATCCATTAGCTAATATAAATATATATTTCATATTTTTCAAATCTGTAATATCCAGGCAAAGAGATCAAAACAATTGTGCAGTGTTCTGAGAGATCACGGTAGATAAATGAGAGATAGGGCCAGCATCAAGCTCGTGTCAACTAATTCCATAACTCAAAATATTTAAACACTGTATTATCCCTAACACCTTAAATTTGTAACATATTGTTCTCTCATATTCCTTTGTTTCTAGGAAACATTTCCAAGTAAACTGGCATAAAATGCTTAAAATATGATGAGATAATATGTGGTAACTATTAACAGAATATCTGTTATGAAAATTGAAGTGCAAAGGGTGTTAATTATTTATTTATTTATTAAATTGTGATCAATATTGATGATCAATGGTAATGGTAATTAATGGAGATCAAAGGTCTTATGCCACCAATAAATGATAGTTTTCTTTTCAATTCATTTATCACAGTAGGGTAAACCTATTTGAAGAGTGTGTGTGTGTGTGTGTGTGTGTGTGTGTGTGTGTGTGTGTGTGTAGCTGGGAACCCATTTCTAGGCCCTCAGTTTGATATTTTATAATCAACAGGAAGTTACTTGGGATGACTTCATGAAACAGGTGAACATCAGCTGCAATTTTAGTTCTTATGAAAATTGACGGTGGCTTTAAAAGCATAATGCCTTAGAGAAACTAGGAATCGGATAAAACTAAGGATGAGATACCAGGAGAGCCTCTGCTCATCCAAGCACTGACAGGTGGCATGAGATGCTCATCCTCTTCTGGGAAAATGTGTCATCTGAAAAGCAGAGACAACAGCGAGGTGCTTATAGATGCTTTGAGGCCCCTGCCTCCCATCTCCCAGTGATTCTAAAAGTCTTGGGTTCAGAACCACATCCCCCCTCTTACCCTACTCTGTTTAATCACATCACAGCCACTCCCTGATGTAGGCAAGATTCAGAAACTTCCTTTTCAGATGATGCATGCTTCATGAAGATATTGGACTTGCTTTGATTTTGTCAATTCCTCTTTAGGACTCAGAAAAAACATGACTTTCTCTTCCCTGGTATAACTTAGTGTGTCTGCAGACATTCTGAAAGAACCGCATAGACACAAGGAGCCCACAGGGCAATGTCATATGACATTCTCTCTCCTCAAATTCCAGGAAAGAAATCACAGTTCCAGAACTGTCATTCCTACTATCTCAGTTTTTCCTATTCTAAATGCCAAAATTTTATGCCCTTTTATTAGTGGCTACAAAAGTTACTAATGAACAAAACCTCTCAATATTTCCTGGGGCAATGTAAATATTCAAGAGAAATAGATTAAGGAGGAATTACCACACTTACAAGAGATAAAGTCATCAAAAATCATATTCCCCTTATATTAATGATAGACACCATTTTATAACTTACCTTAGACTTTCTTCTCTTCCTCCTCCTCCTCTTCCTTCTTTCTTCTCCTTTTTCTTCCTCTTCTTTATATGTTCCTTCTTTGTGTGACTACCTTTTCTCACATCCTTCCTTCTGGATAATATGGTGTTTGCACAGGTAGGAGAGGTCAAAAGCATGTGATACTTGTAAGCCCTATTTCACATGTGGGAAACAGACACCTGCTAAACCAGAATACAACATTAGTTAAATGGCACATACAAGATAAAGGATACCAGAATTATTTTCTTAGACAATGAAAATGCCATTTGTTTGCTATTTTAAATTATGAAAAAGGGAGAGGAGAGGAGAGGAGAGAGAGAGAGAGAGAGAGAGAGAGAGAGAGAGAGAGAGAGAGAGAGAGAACACTATTGTAGTAGTCCATGAAGCTAAAATCAGGCTTTTAGAATACCATCCCCACCCTGCATACACGCAGCAGGTCTAAAGCTTTCATCTCTTCACATTTACTCAAATGCCTTCAGAATAAAAACAGACTGTGGTTTCCATAGAAACTGCTCAAGGTTTCAGGTGTTTCTTGGGGCATTTTTTTCCCATTAGCTCTTCAGAGAAGAAGGTATCCATTATGGCTTTTCATTAATACTATTCTCCCTCTTTGTTAGAGATTGGGTGCAGGAATCTTACATTCTCCTGGGTGGGCCTGCATTTCTGGCCTCCTGTCTTGCTGCCTTTCAATGTGGCTGAGAAACTGCACAGAGCCACTTTTGGAGGTTGGCACCCCCTGCCCACTTCTGGTGCCCACCATGCAGCTTTTCCTTCCCTTCTCATCAGCCAGGAAACTGGAATGTCACTTCCCTAGAGAGTCACATGAAACGCTTTCTTGTTCAGACTTTATATCATCCAACTGGGATGTTACCAATATAAGATGCTAAGGACAATTGCAGTGACCGTGGAGACCCAGTTCACACAGATAACAGCAAAAATGAGAAAAAGGGGTGTCATAGTGTGATGTTCGGTGCTGTCAGCTTGACGGAATCTAGAATCACCCAGAAGGTATGCTTGTGGGCATGCCTGGGGGGATTATCTTGGTTGATTTAACTGAGCTGGGAAGACCTGCTGTTTGTAGGTGGCATTTTTTTTCTTCCTGGCTGAGATACTGGACTATCTGAATGGAGGAAAGGAGCCTACACCATTGCTCTCCGTTCCTGACTGGATTGATGTGACGGCTGCTTCAAGCTCCTGCCTCCTGACTTCCCCATCCATGATGAACTGAACCCTTGAACTGTGAGCCAGTACAGCCCCCTTTTTCCCTTAAGTTGGTTTTGTTACTGTGTTTACTTAAAGCCACTGGAAAAGTAATTAAGACACCTGGCGTTAGTAATCACCTGTGTGTTGGGCTAGCATGTAAAAGATGAAGATGTGTTGTGCAATATTAGTTTAAGATGTGTTATATTTGTTTATGCTGTGGAACATTTATTTAATGATGGAAAGCTGTGTTGCATTCTTTTATGTTGCGTTTGTTTAACTCTGTAAAGCTGTGTTACTGTGCCTGTCTAAAACATCTCGTTCATCTAATAAAGAGCTGAACAGCCAATAGCTAGGCAGGAGAGAGAGATAGTCTTGGCTGCCAGGCAGAGGGACTAAATAGGAGAAATCTAAGGAAGAAAGCAAGGAGCAAGAAAAGAAGGAGAAGAGGACGCCAGGGGCCAACCACACAGCCACACAGCCACTCAGCCAGCCACAGAGAAAGAAGGGAAGAAAGATATATAGAATAAAGAAAGGTAAAAAGCCCGGAGCCAAAACACAGTTAAATGCAAATGGAATAATTTAAGTTAGCAAAGCTGGCTAGAAACCAGCCAAGATAAGGCTGGGAATTCATAAGTAAGAATAAGTCTCCCTATGTGTATCTGGGAGATGGGTGGCAGGCCCTCAAAGAGTAAAAAACAAACAAGCAACAACAACAACTACAAAGATGTAAGAGCACAAGTTCGAACCCAGCTTGGACTATATAGTGAATGCCAGGGCAGCTTTAGGCTACAACACAAAAGAGGATCTGAAAAAGCAATAAACTAGCAGGGAAAAAAAAATGTAATCTTTCACACAGACTCTAGGTAATGGATTCCCTAGAGGAGCGATGCGCTCCCCATAATATAGAGTGACAGATGAAACAGGAGGAAAACAATTCAACACATGGAGGCTCCAACTACTCACATGTATTCTCAAATGTCAGCCTTTCCTCTAAGCTATGTGCAAGCATAGAAAGCCCATGGCCCTCAACAGAGGTGTGACTGATAGAGAAACCATGACACAAAATAAAAGTTGTGACAGAAGCAAGGCACGAATTGGGGATTCCCCAAAGCACCCAGTTGAAAGGCAGCCATGGGATCTGAGGACCACAGCTCAGGAATTGCTCAGAAGGCTCCTTAACATTGTAAAGACAGTTTCCTCCTGTGATAAAAAGTGAGGCTCATAGTTACCACTTCACAGGCTGCTGTAAGGATCTGGTGATGGACAAATTACTCTCTTGCCAGTAGTCTCATTATGGCAGATTCTGTGGTGCCAAGACTGTGAAGGAACCCAACATTCCTGAGATCATGGAATCATCAAATAAAGAACCACGCCTCCTTCCAACCATGCCTCCACATCTACCCTGTATCAGTGGCAGATTCAAACTATTTCGCCATCTTGTTTTGTTTTGTTTCGTTTTGATGTCCACACATGTCTTGTGATTTCAGTGGTCACTAATTGCAAAGTATAATGTGTCCCTTGAGAAGGCATAGGGCTCCATGAGGTATGGAAAGTGACAATGAGAAACTGATTGATGGTGTGACAAAGACTGGTGTCAAGTCCACAGATTCCAATCTCAAACACTTGTGACTGGACACACAACCTTGAGCAAGATTTTCATTTTCTCATCTTCAAATGGAAATGCTGATGCTAACTACTGTAGAGACTTATTATCATGAGAAAAGTTGAAATTTGCAAAATGTTTATAAAGCCCAGAGAATGGTTAATCATTATAAATACTGGTGCTTATTAAGTAACAGCAAAAACAGACAACTTCATAGAAAAGCCACTTAAGATTGAAGTAAAGCCAGGTGCTCGTGGCATACACCTTCAATCCCAGCACTCAGGAGGCAGAGGCAGGTGGATCTCTATGAGTTCAAGGACAGCCTAGTCTACAGAGTGAGTCCCAGGACAGCCAAGACTACATAGAGAAACTCTGTCTCTAAAGACCAAAAGAAAACAACAAAAAAAGATTAATAACTGAAGAAAGTGGAGAAGATTCCAGAGAATAAGAACACAGTAAATAAGAATTTGAATATAATAAGGGTTGAGGAAGCATTAAGGAGATGATTATGTCCTAGAAATGTTAAACACTCATGAAGTCATCCTAATTAGTCTTATTAATAAAAGCCTGGAGTCAGATACTAGGGGTAAAGCTGAATGAAAGATCAGAGAAGCAAAGGAGCGGCCACAGTCACTTCTTATCTCTATGAACTCTCAGACTGAATAGGACATCCTGTCCCTACAAATCCTCAGCCTGAATGGAGGCGATCCTGTCTCCACCTCCCTAGAGCTAGAATTAAAGGCGTGAGCCTCCCATATGCTGGGATCAAAGGCATGATCCTCTCAAGCGCCGGATTTAAAGACCTGCTCCACCACTCCTAGCTCCAAGCTTTTCTTTAATTCCTTTCCACAAGTTGGAAACTTAGCTGGGTGGGATCTTGCCCTAAGGTCACCTCTCCATTTATTCCATTTCTTAATCCATTTTTCTCCTTGAACAAAGGATTTAGCTACGCGTGCGCGCACACACAGAGAGAGAGAGAGAGAGAGAGAGAGAGAGAGAGAGAGAGAGAGAGAGAGAGAGAGAGAGAGAGAGAGAGAGAGCGCCTAGGGTATCCCTCATGCAGGCATAAAATAGAGGCAGGGTAACTGACGTGTAAGATTGTAGCAGAAGGTGGCCCACTTTCCCATATGCCTGTGGTCTCACTGCCGCATTGTTGTCTCCGGCCTGGTCTCTGTGATAGACAGAGGAGATGCTGAGCGTAGGATGGAGTTATTAAAGCCTCGGCTGATGTCACACTCTCACTCACTTGCCTGTCCTCTGCATCTGTACTCACTCACTCTGGAGGAAAACAGCTGTCGTGTCCACACAGCCTTGGGAGAGGAGAAGTAGGGATGTTACAGTTTTGAAGACTTTGCCCAAACCTGGGGACAACTGAGAAGTCTTGCCTATAGATTGGAACCATGTCCCATGAACTTCAGATGACTGCAACCACATTTTAAAAGTGCCTGAAACCTCAGCAGTGACCCTTAGCCATCACAGCCCTGTTTGCACCTGGTACTCAGTCCACAGAAGTGAGTGCACAAGAGATATAGCGTTGTGAGTTCCTATGATTGGAGATTATTTTTATATGCAGTATAGATAACTAATACAAGGCTGAAGGAACTTCCAAGTGTCATATTGCAAATTTGATAGAATTACCTCTTCCTATGTAATGCCATTTTCTGTATTTTATATATTTAGTGCTTTTATTAATTTTGATAATGTCATATATACATACAATGCATTTTTGTCATATTCACCTCCCACTCCTTGAAGACCACTCCCACCCTATCCTCAATTCATGTCTTCTCTCTTTTGGTTGACTCTACAATTTTAAAATCCAAGAAGTTCAATTTGTGCAACCCATAAACTCATAAGTATGGGAGCATGTCCTGGATCCTGGAGCATCTACCTGGGCTATATTCTTAAAGAAAATTGATGCCCCCAACACACACATACACAAGCCATCAAATGTTAGTCATTCATGTCACTGCTTTCTATGTGTATACTATGTATATATTTGCTACTACTTCTACCAGATGAAACCCTTCTCAAGGCACTTAAAATAATTGTGTATTTACTATAGAGCAAATTATTCTAATTTAATTCTTACATGGTCTATGAAGATCTATATGATCTCTGCTTTATTAATTATCTCACTGTCACCCACCCTGATTTTTTTTTCTTTTTTAGACTCCATACATCTGCACTTATTTCTTTTAGGTCTGTGGAACACACTGAATGCATTTCTACCCTCAGGCTTTTGCATACAAGTCTGTACTGGTGGTCACACAGGCCATGTATGAACAGCAAGACGTGGTCTTCAAAATCGCATTTCCAGTCTCTCTATGCAAGGTGGAACCAGAGCTGATCCTGTAGTCTGGATGCAGAGGTCCTCTGGGGGCTCCCTTGTTAAAGGCTTGGGCTCCCTGGGTAATGTTGTTGGAAGACAATAAATACCCCAGTGAACGTTCTTTAGGTCATCACTAGCATGCCCTTGAAGTTGGTCTCTGCCTCCAGGCTCATACATTTGCCTGTTACCGCATCTGCCTTGATCTTTTATCTATGACAAATGTCCAAAGGAATGAAGCTGACTGCCTCGTCTTAGACTGAAACTTTCATAAGCAAGGGCCCCAAAAAAGCCATTTTTCTTTATATATTGGTTGTGTCAGGTATTTTGTTACAGTAATAGGAAGATGACTGATACAGAGGAGTTATCAATCTCCGAGAAAATTCTGTCTGCTTTTCTGAACGTGTCATCTCTGTTTAGAGCCTTGTTTAGGGAGTGTTGCTGAAGAAGAATACTGTTTTCTCTGAGCCACAACAACGGCTACAGAAGTTGTAATAGTAAAGCTAAGATGATGCCTCTTTGCTCATAAACTGTTATGAATTTTAACGTAAGGGATAGTTACTTCTAGCATCCACATTGGTGCTGTCACGCTCCATGAACCTGGTTCTCTGGGGCCCATTAAAATCTATTTTAAACAAGGTTTCCAGGTGTCTTCATGGTAGATGTCATGGCCCTCTTACATCTGTGGAACCCACATCTGATTTATATCTTCAGTTTTTATTAGGTACAGGGAGTAACTCTGTTCTCTGGTGCAAAATGGGTGATAAAAAGTATGATCTGGGCATTAGGGAAAGCGATGGGAGGTGTTTCAGACACTCCACAGTAAGACAATGTTCCTCTTGGAAAGTTTTGTGGTGCAGATGTAATTGAGATAACAAGCCCACAGATTCCTGCTTTGCTAACCTCAGCCATCCTTTCCCAAGGGACCTTCCTAGTAGTTGACTCATTTCTATGCATTCTCTTTTGCTATTATTAAACTAAAGTTAGTGTTCTGATGAAAATGATGATGATAATTCATGCTTTTTGACAATCCTTTGAGTTAGGACATTTAGGTTTAGGTGGCTAACCAAAGGATAATCTCTGTGGTCAAAATTTATTTGAACTAAATTTAGTGAGCTCCTATCAACAAATATGTATCGATTGAATATCCACTAAATGTTATTGGTGCGTAAGAGATTAATGTAGCTAGAGTTTTCCTGCCTGGCCCACAGTCAGGACAAATCTCTCTCACCCGCCAGTCCCACAGCTGCTCAGACCCAACCAAGTAAACACAGAGACTTATATTGCTTACAAACTGTATGGCCATGGTAGGCTTCTTGCTAACAGTTCTTATAGCTTAAATTAATCCATTTCTATAAATCTATACCTTGCCACGTGGCTCGTGGCTTACCGGCATCTTCACATGCTGTTTCTCATCATGGCGGCTGGCAGTGTCTCTGACTCAGCCTTCCACTTCCCAGAATTCTTCTCCTCCTTGTCCCACCTATACTTCCTCCTGCCTGATTACTGGCCAATCAGTGTTTTATTTACCAACCAATCAGAGCAACACATTTGCCATACAGAACATCCCACAGCAGACTAAAGAACTGAATTCTTTGTCCTCATAAAGCTGGCATTACAGAAAAGTGTTGTGCATTAAATGATGCAGATACTAAAAAGCAATGGAACATTATCCAAAGAGTAGGGTAGGAACCCGGGAGGGGGTTCTGTTTTAAGTAGGGCAGTCAAGGTAAGCCTGGGGATGAGGGAACATTTGACCAAAGACAAGAGGGAGGAGAAAATGAGCCATGGGGTTTTTTCAGATACATATAGGGACAGAGGCTAAGGCAGAAATGATACAGGACCTTCCCTTTTCTGGGAACCTGGTCACAGTCATCCACAAAGGATCTGCTTTTGGACAAGAGAACGAAGAGCACAGAAGAGGAAGGGAGAGGCATATAAACAGAGAAGGGAATAAAACAGAAAAGCACAGTAAGGACTCACTCTAAAATCGGAATTTGCATTTCCTGAGCTTGTGCACATGCCATTGTGAGAAGCAGCTGTCTTCTCCCCAGGGTCATCAATGATGTGTGATATTTAAGTCACCCGGTCTCCTTAAAGGAGAGCCCTGCTGCACTCCTCCAGTTAGCCCTTACACTGAGCTGTGCCTGAGCAGACTGGAGCAGTGACTGAGATGAACACGTTCCCTCTGTTCCTCCTGCTCTCTGTTCACCAGCACTGCGGTAAAAGGAAGCAGGATTTTATTTTTAATTACAACACTTAATTAAAGCAGGGGGGAAGAAAGTGTGGTGAATGGGTTATGAAATAAGCTAAGCAAGGGGAAAGCAGCATAATAAAACAAGAAAAGAAATTAAAGCTACCTTAGCAGTGAAATAATTAAAGAAACACATAGAACGTGCCTGACATATAAGGATGTGTTTAGAAGAATTACTTTAAGTTTCATCACAAACTTCAGAAGCAGGTATAGCCTTCTGCAAGTGCAGAAACAGCCACACCATTACAAAGAAAGAAAGAAATTGTGTGCAAAGAAATTTTTGTGCAGCAGGACAATGTACTTGCAAGCATCCACAGAAGGAAAGCGCAGTGTAAATTCGCACACATCACACGTCTACATAATACCTGCTGAATTCAATTTACACACGTTCTATGAACACATACTCAACTTGAAATGACTGGATGAAAAATAATGGGCTTAATCCCACATGGCAGGAAATTCAGTAGTTCGTATCTTCACGCTGCTATGTAAATCAGGCCTTGGTCTCTTTCCTACTAGATAAGAGGCAAACCCCTGGAGCTCAATAACAACACAAGGTCCAGGATGTTCCCCCCAAAAGCACCAAACAAACAAAACAGCAGGGACCCCGGGCAGCTGCCTACTTCTGGGCCTGCGCCCCACTCGGGCGGTGGGCGGAGCCGAGGAACCGAAAGAGAAAGAGGGCTGTGCTTGGAGGACCTCGGGCGCCGGAATGAAGCCACGGTGGGCGAGCCTCTTGCTGCTATGCTGCTGCTGTCTGGGCAGCGGGGTTGCCAGGACCTGGCCGCGGAGCCACCAGAGGGAGGCGGCCGCCTTGCGGGTACCAAGCTCCCTTCTCTACTTGTCCCCTGCTCTGGGGCTCCTAGGGAGGGACCCACGCTCTAGGAGCACCTTTCCCCAGCAGCGCTGCTGCCTAAAGCCTGATTCCCCAGGACAGGGATCTATGTGATGCTCCCCAAAACAAAAGATGTGTCGGAAGCAAAGCTAATGGGAAGCCGCACCTCGGAATCCCAAAGCTGTTCCATAGCTCCTTTCTCAAAATAAACCTGTCGCTTAGAAAGCCGCCTGCAGGGGGCGCTAGCTCCCTCCTCCAATAACTGGAAGTTCAAACTCCAGGAGCAGGCTCATTGATTCCCCAGGCTGCTGAGCTAGCTGGGTTAATGATTTCCCGGTCCTGGGGACTCTGTACCACCACCTTACTAAAAAGTTCTTTCTGACTTGGCGGAGACTGACGTAGAACAGAAGGAAACATTTCAATGCCTTTAACTCGGGTTGTCTAAAAAGTTTCCATAATAATCCTTCAATTTTACTCCAGCCTTAAAATTCTGAAACGGACCGGTTAGCCGACCATAGCTCTGCCCTCTTCGGCTCTTCCTCATTGGTGTGGAAAATTCCAGTAGCAGAAGGTCAGGCCTTCTTCGGCTCCAGCTACCCTGGCTCCAGCTACCCATCCCTGTGTTTTACTCAAACCAAACTGCACGCTTTTCTCCTATTTGTTACTTTTGAGCTCATTTCTTGTTACCAAATGCAGAAGCACTGTCCATTTCTCACCGAAGTCCTTGGCCTGTGTGTTACCTAGTCCTGTCCTTGATTTCATCTCCTCATGAACCAGACACTGGGGCGAAATAGTCCGTTTCATGGTGTTGACAATGTGTTCATTCGCTACATCGATTACAATTTTTTTAATCGTGGGTCCTGGAGACCAACAATGTAAGTGTATGATTTCTTTCCTTGTTGCTGAAAGAAAGACTTGAAGAAAGAAGGGTCTGTTTGGCTCACACTTCCAGAGGACAGTCCATCAGGATGGGCATGTCGTGGTGGCAAGGGTATGTAGCAGCTGGCCACACTGCATCAACAGCCAGGAAGCAAAGAGGCCTGGATGCTGTGGCCTGACTCACTTTCTCATTTTTATTCTATCCAGGACCCCAGCACAAGACACAGTGCCTCCTAAGTTTAGGATGATCTTCCTTCCTTCAGTTACCCTGATTTAGAAATATTCCCCAGTAATATTTCCAGAGGCTTATTTCCATGGTGATTCCAAATCCCAGTGAATGGACCATCAAGATTAACAATCACAGTCACTGATAAAATATTATAAAATAGAATTTGTGTTTGTAAATTATAATTTTCATGCCTATTCATACTTAATCCATACAGCTGTTGTACCATGAAACAAGTATCCAGAAAATCCTACTCTTTTAAAGAGAAATGTAGCCAAGAGTCTATATGGGAAAGTGGGAGGTTGGAAGTTGAAGAAAACATTCCAAATCTTAGTCTAGTCTAAAAACTTTGTTAAGAATACCAAAAAAAAAATGTTTTCATTGCAGTTTCTGTTAGCAGGAATTTGATTGATAAAGTGGATGCCCAGTCTTCTGAACATTTAGTCTTTAAATTATAGTTGCAAACTGTGAACACTCCTGGACGATGTCAGCTAGAGAGTCAGAAACAGGGGTCTTTGTTTCTTTGGTGACCAAAGGTATTAAGAAGGATTCTTCTGACTGTATGCATTAAAATATATGCTAAGTAAAACGCAGTTTATAAGTCTAAAAAGCCTTTGTTTTACAGAATTATTTCCATTATTGAATTAGTTGATTTGAGACCCTACTGCTTTCTTACAAGGCAACTTGTGTATAGAATATAGGAGCTTCTTTTATTTCATAAAAGAGTAAAAAATTTTAAAGTATGTTATAAGGTAAAATTTAGTAATGAAGCACTGTGCGTTCCACAGAATATCCCTTAAATGAACGCTAATGGCACTCCCACAAGATAAGACTCCTCTGGTTTGTTATGGGATGCCAGTCGACTTGACTGCCTGCATCCATGCATCGTGTGCTGGTTGTGTGGCCTTAGGAAAATTGTATACCCCTTCATGCCTCAGTTAATTAATCTGAGACGAGACGATGCAGTGAGCAAGCACTTCATGAAGAACTAGTAGTTCATCCGAAGAGCTTAGACCAGGACTTCAGCTTAGCCAACGCTCCATCCCCTCAGCTATATCTTTAGTGTGCTTGGTAACTGTGAACATTCTTCTTAGAGACCAGAAAGCCCAACAAATTGGTCCTCAGGATTTGCTTCTTTCTCTAGATGCTAATGAGCACACGAAAGGGAAAAGTATATGTATTTAATTTATTCTTCTTATCAACCACTATCAAGAAAAATTTCCCTGACCATTCTCCTCTTGGAGGTCGATTGAGGACCTTCCCAACACCCCGTGGGTTTCTAGTCTTAGATGTTTTTGAAAAGCACTATCTCTATCAACTATCATAAACCAAACAAGCTTCTGCCACTTTGTTTCCCATAGTTGGAAAGGTTTGGATAACAAGAACGTGAAATGGAATGAGAGGCTTTCTGATTTCTCAGAAAAAAAAAAAATGCTGGTTTCTGAA